CTCAACCGTTCTCTTACATCATCGTTGACACTTTGCTCTTCTCATTTTCTTATTACGTAACTCTCTTTGATCTACTTAGTTGAACAATTTTTTTACTCGGTTAACTTTCTGCGTCTATTCGAATTCATTTCTGGTTATATCTTTTTCGTATTACGTAACCAACGTCCAACTCTGTTTCCACCATTGCTAATCGTTTTCCATTACGTAACTGTTTCTATGCTAACATTCCCCTCCTCCTCTCACCCATACTCAAATAACTTTGGTAATGACTCAACCACTCAGTGCATTCTGCTTGACCCCATGTAATTGTGTTAATGTCCATATATGGTATTGTTATGATAAAATTTGACCTATTTAATGTGCGTAGACAGCCGATTGAGAGCACGCGAAATTGATGGCCAATATCAATTCTGTTCATATTGTATGTGACTTGTTTTATTCAAAAGAATTAAGAGTATTGCAAGAGTACGGAATAAGTACTCTTTATCCATAGCATCTATGCTAGTATGATTTTGGAAAATGAAATGTATTCCCAAAATGAGAGTCGTGTCGCACGAGTTCAATCGGTACCTGTATGTTTTGGAGCCTCTCCACGGTGCATGTTCAGTTGGGAAATCGGTCTATGTTCATTGGGGACTGAACGCACCATTCGTATTGCTCTTTCGAATTGGACAGCAGCGTACAGCGGTTGGTTATGAGGTACAATTGTATTGTATTATATCATAGATGACTTGTGCAGGTAACTGTTTTACATTTCAGTAAAAAAAAACGCGGTCACTGTTACATTAGGATAAAAATTGATATAAAAAAATATATACAACAATGATAAAACCTAAATAGATGTTTATCTTTGTAAGTTTAAAATTATTTCGTTACGGATCCTCACCGTGTCAATGAGACTATGAGCCAGATAGGGAACTGTTAAGTTTCGATAAATTTTTATACAGGAGAGTTAGAAGCGAAAATGAGATCGGGTTGTACTGTGTGGGAACGGCAACCAGATAAATCGCGATTGAGTGGATAGCTGGGGTCACATTTGAATTAATATCAAAATCACAAAATTTTGTGATTCGAATGTGCAAAGTAATAAGAGGAACATGGCTGATAATTACCAAACCGCAACGAGTGCATTGTTTCTCGCAACTAATTGCTCAATTATTTTTCTCAGTTTGGTGTGGTTCATTTAACCTCTGTATTGCGGATTTTACGTTCCATGACTGACGGAATTCTCTCTCCTTGTTTTCGTTACAGTGACGTGTATGGAGGAGTAGGAGGCCGTACATCGAAAACACTTGTGTGATCGAGCATCAATCGTGATGTTCCACATGTCTGTTCACAGTTTGTCTGATTGATAGATTGTATGTTTCTGTTTTCTTACATGTACAACTATGGGGAAATCGATGCATGAGATGAATCGAGTTCCAAAGTCCAAGTTCTGAATGGGATTTATAGTTGCTAAATTTACAGTCATGATCTGAACACTTGTGTATCCGTTCTTCGGTTAGTCATGGTTAGAACCGCCCTCCGTGCTTGCAGAACGTGATCGGGCCTAAAGCACCTAGCATGTGCAAAAACAAGGCTCACATTTTAGTCGACCGATGTTGTGTTGACCGCATTCGTCCAACCAACCGGCACAGATTAGGCGAAGAACGGTCGCACTGGTATTCTATTGCATGTGAGGGATCGATAGACCGGAATATTGTTTCAACAAAGACAGTTTCCTGCAAAAAAGGTTCAACTTTTTCGACGAATTACAGTCCCATGATCGAACCAGGCTAGAGCCCAAACTGGAAAACTGATAAAAATGCCTGGACGAAGTAAGCTGCTTGATTATGGCAAACGAACTTCCAGAGGTTCACAGCATGCAAATAAGAGATCAGCACTGAACAGAGAAAAAGGATAGGAACAACAACTCAGTTTTATAAAAGAGATAATGTACAAGCTCACACTTTTCTCATCTCACAGGTTCGTGTTGTGGTTAACAGATAGTGTGACACACGATTCCATGTTTAACAATGTCACGTGATACGGGCTTCTTCCACTGTTGCACGCAGCTTCACTTATGCTGGAATGTAAGGTGTACTAACGCTTCATCAAGTCTCAGTTTGAAAGATTCAACGCTTGGTGCACCGATGACGTGCGGTGGGAGAGAATGGCTGAAACCGGCATTTTGAGACCACTAGTTTGAACGGATGTCCTCTAAGATGAACGTTGGATGACAATTTTAACAGCTGGGTTTTACATTATTTGGTATACCATAATCATGTCTCCTCTGATGTGCCGATAGCGATTGGAATATAACCCCAACGACTCCAGTCTCTGCGCTTATGAATAGCGATGGCAAATCACTTGACGGGATGCCAAAGAGTTCCTCATTTATTCCGGAACATGAGTGCTCGGGGGTTCTTGGCTCTCATGACTGATCAATGCATCATCGAGACTTCAGGGTTCCTCTCT